TGAACTTAACTTGCCACTTACTCCTTAAAATTAACCTTAGCTCTACTCTTAAATTGCGTGACAGTGCTAATAACAGTTTTGATGAGTTAAAAGCTAACCAGACCTAAAGCACAAACCTAGACATAGTTACTATGCCTGAACTCCTCTTTATTCAAAAACGTCATAAGCAAACGACTCGATAAGTATTTCAACAATTTTAAAAAGACATGCTTTATGTCTTATTACTTCCTTAAATCTGAAAAATTTTCATCATAAAAATTATGTATAATTCTTCATTTTTTAATTCCCCTCCTGCGATGAAGAATTGCTCTCCTCCTACAATCTCCTTTTTTTTCACAAATAATTACTTTTCTTTCACTCTTCATTCCAACTCCAATTTGAAGCCTTTTAAGGGATATGATATTGTGTTGTGTATGCAAAAGGAAGAAAAAAAAAAAATGTGGATAATGTACCCGTTATGCGGAGAAGATGTGGAAAAGGAAACATCATGGGAAAAAGATTCTTTCCTGTTACGGGCGTTTTTATTTAGTATTCAAGTTCTCTCTTCTTTTTTCATGCTTTATTATTTAAAAATATTCACTCAAACTCTGCGTATTGTTACAGTTTAGGCTTTTATGGATTTCATTATGTTCCTCTCATCCCACTCACTCACTCAGCATTTACCACAACAATATATATCCGGAGAAAAAATTAAAATATGCTTCATTTTCAGCACATAATGTGTATATGGATGTATGTAAAAATTGTGTAAATTTTTTGGGAGATTCCAATTTCCTATGTCAATACAGGAGGAGAGTAGAAAAACATTGATGGATTAAATGAATCAGTTGAGTGAGTGAAAATTGAAAAGAGCAGAAATATCGAATTGGATGGATTTTAGTAGGGCCTCGTCACAAAAAAATTGTACGTGAGTGACGCTTTGTTTTTCTTGATTATCTCCTTATCCTTAAAAGTGACAAATTTAAGAGTTACTTTTTTGAAAAGAGAATTAAAATCTCCATCTATTGTTATACAATTCACTTCATGAAAGTTTACAGTTACTCGAAAAAATCACTTTAACTATGCGTCACTCATGTATAATTTTTGGGTATTTTGATATATCTTCATTATTGTTTATTGATATATCTTCAAATGTATTTTTTTTAGGTCCAAAATTCAATTCTGTTCTTTTTGAGTTTATAAAAAAATTAAAATTGCTGCATTAACATACCCAAATGGACAAAATTAAGTTAAAACATTTTTAACGGTTTTAACTTTTTTGAATTTTTTCGGTTGTAATTTCTTTGTTTACAAACAAAATCGAAAATGAAATTTGAAAAGTCACGAAAATATCACTCAATAATGATGTAAAAGCTCTTAAAATAGTCATAACAGCTTATGCATCATCTACTTTTCGTATTCAAATCATAATATTTGGGATTAATGATTGAATAATTAAGAATTTTGAGAATTTAATTTTTGATGTTTTGTATGATAGTGTTAGTGAATAATTCAAATTATTTTTTTCCGTTAAGGAAAAATCCTTTAAAACACGTCGAGACCCAGTAGAATTGCATGTGTGTTCATCGCCTTTCCTGCATTGTTATTAAAGTAAAACAATTGTAATTGAATTTTATTATATAAGGGTTCGTTCAAACTGTCATTTTTTAAAAAAGAATAATGGATTTCTATTGCTTGTTTTTGCTGCCCCCCCCCCCCCCCCAGTCGTCAGTAGTGAACTGTCCCTTATGAGAAATTGGTTTTTAATGTTTGGCATTTATGTTTGTGCTGCATTACAATGATGATTTTTATTTTGTAACATCATTTATGAGTGACTTCTTATATGTATAGTTATTAAGTGGCACGATTTAGCTATGGCGATATTTTTTTGGAAAGACATAATTCATCCAATTTTGGATTTTCAGTCGCCTTCCTCATTTTTTTGTCACAAAATCTTAGGTACTAAAAGTGGACGTAATAAGTCTCTCAAACTTTTCCCATTTTAATTACAATTTCTAGTAACCGTATATAGCTGAATTTCTAGACCATACAAATTCGAATTATTTGCTTGATACACTTGCATACATACTTCACAACAAAGTATAGAACAATCATAAATTACCATAATAATGAATATTTTTGCGAGCATTCATTGCGCTTAGATGTTAAGCATTTAATCAACTAAAGTAGCTCAAACGCGAATATGAAAATGAACCTTCACGTTCCAAACCACAACAGTCCATAAATAAGAGCATATTGTTCTCATTATAATCTCCATGATATTCAAATACAGAAAAGTTTTTCATTAATTCTTGAAATTTTGCCATTTTTCCATAATCTTTTTTTGTTTTCATTCCAATAATAGTGATTATTATAAAGAATAATGTAGGTAGCATGCAACAAGTTCTAACGTCAGCAAATCGCTCCGTTATTATGTACTGGGGGAGAAGAAGAAAAAACGGATTTTTATTTCATTTTTTTTTGCCACTCAATGTCATTTTTTACGAGCAGAATTACGATTTGTTTGAACATGTCCGATAAAAGGGCATGAATGGATATTAATTTGTTGTCTGTTGGATCATTGGCTTGACATATAACTTATGTTGTGAAAAAAATTATACAGAACCTTTTTTTTCTGCTATCGGATAGATAAATTTAATGAAAATTGGATTTTCCACTTTTCGTATCATGCTTTTCATGTTGTGACATTGAAACAAAAATTATATCAGCCATAAAGCAAGTGAGATATTAAAGATGTTTTATTAAATTAACCATAAATCGCTTTAAAAGATTCCGTAGAATCAAATTATGCACTTTTTTTATTTCATGTAACATATAAAAGGTGGATTGTGGATTGATAATTAAACGGTAATCATCATTTGCAATGAATGAATTATTAATATATTTGAGGAATGAGGAGAAAATGGAAAACAAAACAAGCAAATCAGAAGCATATCGGCTGCAAGAAAAATTAATCAGACGCTAAAGTTGCGAAATATTTTTCGTTAATATTGACTCAAATACACTGAGCGCATTATGCTGTTTTGTTTATTGAAAAAGATTAGTCCAGTTTTGATTTCGATTATGATGTCCATCAACAACGCTAATTTTTAGACCCCCCTCCCAACCTCTGTCACAGATGTCAACCCCCCCTCCCCCCCTTGTGACGTCCAATGCAAGGCTAAGTAAAATTATAATTTCCTGATTAAGAAATTGGATGTCACATATGTCTGTCCCCAGTCACAATGTGACACAAATGTTTTGAACAAGACCTCCCCCCCTAAATGTTGGACGTCATAATTGAACCCTTTAGGACCCCTTAGGTACAATTGAAAAATTGTTTGAAAGACAGGAACGTAGTCAAGATTTTGAGACCCCGTCCACCCTCTGTCACAGATGTCAACCCCCCCTCCCCCCCTTGTGACGTCCAATGCAAGGCTAAGTAAAATTATAATTTCCTGATTAAGAAATTGGATGTCACATATGTCTGTCCCCAGTCACAATGTGACACAAATGTTTTGAACAAGACCTCCCCCCCTAAATGTTGGACGTCATAATTGAACCCTTTAGGACCCCTTAGGTACAATTGAAAAATTGTTTGAAAGACAGGAACGTAGTCAAGATTTTGAGACCCCGTCCACCCTCTGTCACAGATGTCAACCCCCCCTCCCCCCCTTGTGACGTCCAATGCAAGGCTAAGTAAAATTATAATTTCCTGATTAAGAAATTGGATGTCACATATGTCTGTCCCCAGTCACAATGTGACACAAATGTTTTGAACAAGACCTCCCCCCCTAAATGTTGGACGTCATAATTGAACCCTTTAGGACCCCTTAGGTACAATTGAAAAATTGTTTGAAAGACAGGAGCGTAGTCAGGATTTTTAGACCCCCTCCACCCTCTGTCACAGATGTCAACCCCCCCTCCCCCCCTTGTGACGTCCAATGCAAGGCTAAGTAAAATTATAATTTCCTGATTAAGAAATTGGATGTCACATATGTCTGTCCCCAGTCACAATGTGACACAAATGTTTTGAACAAGACCTCCCCCCCTAAATGTTGGACGTCATAATTGAACCCTTTAGGACCCCTTAGGTACAATTGAAAAATTGTTTGAAAGACAGGAGCGTAGTCAGGATTTTGAGACCCCGTCCACCCTCTGTCACAGATGTCAATACCACCCCCCCCCCCCCCCATTTGTGACATCCAATCAAAGACACTAAAAAAATGTTTCCTTTTTAAAAAAATTGGATGTCTCAAATTTTTTAAACCCCTGCGCAGTCCAAAGTGAAGAAAATAATACAGCAAAGCTATCTCGTAAGTTGAGCTAAATTATTAACAGTATAATATTAAATGCGTTTGATTAGCACATAAACTTGTATGATTAATATATTCGACACAAAAACAAGAGAGTAAGAGATGGAAATGAGGTATGTCTCAAGGGAAATCACTGAAGTGACAAAAAGGATTTTCATTCCTTTTTAATTTCAACTTTTACTACACAAATTAATTCCTTGTTATGACGATAAACTCTTTTATAAAGAACCACACATACTCACACAAAAAAGAAGAGTTTTATGGTCATCATAATCATGGGTTGTTTGTTTTCATTATGATAACATTCTCTTTCTCTTCATTTACGCCTCGATAATTTTTTTCATACATGTTTCACCACTTTTTTGTGTGCTCCATTCTGCCCATATTAATAAATTCCGCATGAATCTTTTTTTTAATCAACATCATGCACAAATAAGATACCTTGTACTCATCATCAGCATGTTGAACATTGCTAATTCAAAAATTTCTCATATTATGTTATTTGTGTGCTGTGCTGTGCTGTATAATAATGCACATTTTAGTGAAATCTATCAGCATATAAAGTTTCAATGATTTAATTGAATTATCATACAAATTATTGTATTAATTCTTCCATTATTAGATTTACTATATCATTCTAGCTCAAATTATGTAAAATTTTATAAATCAATTTTAATTTTCCTCTCCCTTCCTCGTTTATTTCAGACACCTAATTTCAAGGAATGTAATTTAGCATCAGACATTTTACAGAAGCATTCAATTAATTCTCTGCTGGAGCACAGTGATGATTTGATATTATCTCCACACGATATGTCGCCTAATGAAGGTAAGTTTTTATTTTATGATGTTCTTTTAACGGATTTTGTAATATTCAAATTTTTAACGGATTCTTCAAATTTGAATTTAAACAGAATCATTTTCGCGAACTTTGAGACCCGCGAAAGTGTAGTGATTTGTGATTTTAAGAAATTTAATTAATTAGCCTATTATTCGCTTTTATTCACATTGTTTAATAGTGTAATTTTGTTTATTGTGTCCTATTATGCACTGTTCAGGTAAAGATTTTGAGTAAAAGCTTAATTAATGTATAAAAAATTGAAAAACAAACATCCAGCGCTTTTTTTTTGTTGATGAAAAAATAAAAACAGAAAATAATAATCCAGTAAAGCGATAAGCGAATTAACAATTTATATGGAAATTGTATTCATTTAAAATCTAGGGGGGTGTATATAAAGTCAATAGATATTAAATTGATAATGTGAATCTCGAGTCTGGCATAGAAACTTCTCTGTGCTGCTTAATTTACTGTGTTTTTATAGTCTATTCCGTCTATTCGATAAAAATTAACATAATTTAAAATGATTCTTGTGCTGGATCTTTATTTTATAGCATTCGGATGCATTTTTAAATTTTCTGATTTACTGCAAAAAGTCTTTGTTGCTCAGAAAATTGCGTTCTTGTTGAATAATGGCACTTTTCTGGATCTTTACCAATTTCTCAATGATTATCATTGAAAATGATTTAAGGATTGTTTGAATTGTGTCATTACAATTCCGAGAAATCCTCCAAAGCTTATAATAACACAGATTGTGGATATTTATTTGCCATTTTAAACTTTCGCATATTCATATGCCAAGTGATGCTTATTGTTGCCAATTAGATTTGATGCGTTTACTCAGAGAAAATTATTAATTAGAACAATAACAATAAAATATAATTTACAGTACGAACATTATACATACATTGGGAGAGGCAAAACAAAAAGAGAGATTGTTCTCCTTTGTGTGTACAGTTAATTTATGTATATTTACAATTTCATCCCCACAGCACAGCATTTTTAATTAAAATATATACAAACATGAAAAAAGAATCTTTTTACTTTGCTTTGGGTACTTTAACTATGCACCCATTTAGAATTTCATCTATTAAGAAGAAACAAACTTTTATTTCTTTATACATGCTTGCTATTGCTGCACATAAAGCAGCAGCAGAAAAGTACATAGGAAAAGTGGAATCATTGTAACGGTTGAAAGCCGCTGGCTATCTATCTTTTATTATGCTCTGCTCTGTATACGCTAATCTAGCATCCCATCTGAATTGGATTGTTTTCTGGACAAAAACTACTATTTTTGGGGAGTTTTCTGGAAACAATCTTATCACAGCCAACAATAAAATCAGTTTAAATTCATTGAAAACGCTTCATTTGTCGAGCAACTCCCAAGCGTACTCGTTTTTCATTAAAATGAACAGCACACAACAAAAAGAATTTCACTTTTCGTTTATTTTTTGCTGCTGCCTTCACAAATTTCTTTTCTAATTATTTATATCAACATCCTTTTCTTCTCGTTTCGTGTATACAACAACTCAGTTGATGCCAATCTATCATTCGCTGATATCTTCAACAGTCTAGGAACGTCAACGCCAAAAGGATATCATTCTCATTCTCCTGACAGCAGTAACTACATTCAGACAACACCACCGAAAATGTTTGATAATTTTCAGGTATGTAATTTAATGATTTCCTTAACGCATAATTTTCCTGAAGTAAATCAACTTCCTTTTCATGTTATTCTCATTCCTATTTTCTTTCGTTTACAGTTTGACAATCGTTCATTACAACGAAACTTAAATTTTGACTGTAATGTAACAACAACGCCGACTTCACCCAGTACGCCTAGCTCATTTATGACGTCACCCAAAGCGTATATGAATTCACCGTCGTACGGGTAAATAATCAATTAATTGCTCCATATATCTCCTACATAAAACATCTTTATTATGACAATTTAATTACAGAAATGATTCTGGCTTCTATAGCAATATCAGTCGTTCTGATTCACCCTTGATAAATGACTCGCAAGATAATTTGGGTTCACCAACCTTCGAGACACGAAGCTTGGCCGATATTATGAATTATTTGAATCTGAGTCAGGCACCAATCCAACAGCAGCCACAGCATTCGAATCAGACTAATCAAAATCGCTATGAGAATCAAAGGAAGCAGGATCATCAACAGCAACAGAATTTCTTGAGTGCTGAATTAAAGCAATTGCAAGCCTATCAGCTTCTTCAACAACAAAAGCAATTACAGCAATTGAATTCACAGCCAATAAATCAGCTTTTACAGCAACAGATCATTAACCAAATGAATTTGGCTAATTGGCGTCAACAGCAGCAGCAACAACAAGCAATTAACAGTGCAAATGCATTGGATAATTTAGCTAAGAATCATCGTTCATCAGCAGCTCTATTTGATCCAAGCTGTACATGGAGTGGAATTATTCCGCCTAGAGCACATCGATTTATTACTTATTCGCCAAAAATCTTTTTGGGTGGCTTGCCGTGGGACTTAAGTGAGACAACATTAATGCAAATATTTAAACCTTTTGGACAGATAAAGGTTGAATGGCCTGGCAAGGAACAAAATGCAGCACAGCCAAAGGGCTATGTCTACATAATTTTTGAGTCTGAGAAACAAGTTAAAGCTTTGTTGCAGGCTTGTACAATTCAAGATAACTTTGTTACACCACCGGGAATTAATAGCAGTGAATCGAATAATGCAGAATCGACTTCGGCTAACATCACGACTGTCCCAAATGGCAACTATTACTATAAAATCTCGTCAAGGCGCATTAAAGAGAAGGAAGTTGAAGTAATCCCATGGATAATTGCCGATTCAAATTACATCAAGTCTGCTAATCAAAAAATTGAATCTGCCAAAACTGTTTTTGTCGGAGCTTTACATGGAAAACTCACAGGTAACATTTTTATGCCTCATTTCACTTGTAAAGTGTTTCATCATATTTTTTCCATTCCATATATAGCTGAAGGACTCGCAAAAATTATGAACGACTTATTTGACGGCGTTATTTACGCAGGTTAGTAGTTTATGACTTTCCATCATACTTTACTGTATGTCAAAGTGTACTTATTAAGTATGTATGCAAACAAGTTGCTTGATAAAATCATAACCGAAACATTTCACTCCTAAACCACAAAATTCTTGCTCTACTTTAACTGTGGGTTTTGCATTTGCTTTTCCTTTAATATCGAAGGTTTGGCGAGAATTTCAATTTGAGGTCTTTAAACTTGCTATTTCTCGGCTTGAAAGATTTTTGTTTTACGTATTACGTAAAAGATTAAACGTACCCGAGTAGCACCAACAACAACAACTGGTTTTACGTCGACGTCAAGGCACCATCAAGTAGAAAAAAGCACGTCACGCCGCAAATTTACCGTTATGGCAACGCTAAGGCATCTACACGCACGATTTCGCCCCATTTGAACAATGAAATAATGGGGCGAAATCGTGCGTCAAGAAGCCTTAGCGTTGCCACAACGGTAAATTTGCGGCGTGACGTGCTTTTTTCTACTTGATGGTGCCTTGACGTCGACGTAAAACCAGTTGTTGTTGTTGTTGGTGCTACTCGGGGTACGTAATTTGAAATACGTACGTATTTAATTATTTCTACGTAATTTGACGTACGTCTATTCAGCTTACGTAAATGTCCACCAAAAACAATAAAAGAATTCGAAACGCATTTTGGGTTAATGCTTATTTATTCTCAGCAGTGGCTTCCTTGCCATTTTTTACGACTTCATTTTCAATCTCTATTCATGGCATTTTGATCTCTGTGTATGTCAATAAAAATTTTATTGCATTTCATTCTAAATTCAATCTTTAACATGCACTCTCAACAGGAATCGACACAGATAAATATAAATATCCAATTGGCTCTGGTCGCGTTACATTCAATAACACACGCTCTTATATGCGAGCTGTTGCTGCTGCATTTATCGAAATAAAATCACAAAAGTTCAGCAAGAAGGTTCAAATTGATCCTTACCTTGAAGATTCGCTATGCTCAGTTTGTGGCGTTCAACATGGACCTTATTATTGCCGAGACTTGTCTTGCTTTCGGTAAGTTTCAATTATTATCAACGCATTTGAGTTTGTCTTGATAATTTTGAATAATTTTTTCATTTGCAGTTATTTTTGTCGTCAGTGCTGGCAACTACGTCACAATAATGACTCACACTTGCGAAATCATAAGCCATTAACGCGCAATTCTAAATCACAACAACAGATTCAAGCTCACTACTCAATGTTTAATAATAGCAATGGATGCTCACTAAGCACAAGCTCTGGAAGTTCATCAGGAAGTAGCTCAAGTTCGCCAAACGAGGCTGTCTTATCGTCGATGCTCAACTTTCAGATGATGAAGTGAGCCGATAGAAAATTGTTCAATACAAATCGACGGGAAATGAGGAAGGAACATTGTACAGCAGCGATTTGAGATTGAACTATATTGAGATCAATATATTTTTAATTTTTAGTTCAATATTCGTTATTATTTGAGTAAATTAAAAAAATTATAAGAAGAAGCAAAAGCAGAACCAAAAGAAGAGACTCATTACTTTGCGCGGGAAAACAAAAGAATCTAGTTAGCAATATGAGTCTTAAAAAAAAGATTCGGAAGTGAAAAGAACTGTCTGAATCTCCCTTATCTCTTATTTTTATAGTTTGTAGTCAATCTATTTTTGTTAAGTTATGTAATTTTATGATGTTTCCAATAGTTTTTAGAAGAAAATTCCAAGAGTGCTTGGACTTTTAGGCATAAAAAAGAAGCCAAAATGAAGGAGGTAGTTAACCTCAATAGAAAAATTTGAAGAACAATTCAAATTCGATACTTAAAATTAAGAGCTAATCAAAGATGTTTGATGAACATTTTTAAATACTTTTCGTTGTGTTGCACACATCACACACTAAAAAAATGGAGAGCATTAAGTATTAACACAAATTGATGATGATTATACACAATGATGATGACAATTTGTGGTACACACCGTTAATATTCTTTCGTTTCTAACAAAACTAATCAAATAACACTACTAATTCGATCTTTTTTCCTATCCAAACAAAAGAAAACTTATAGTTTCTCACACATTATTTTAAGAAAGGAAGAAAATTTTGTTGAAAAATTAAATAAAATCTCACATTACTAACATTGCTTTTATCATTTGCTTTTAAAAAGTAATATTAGCAATATTATCTTTGTTCTTCCATACATCAAAAAAAATATGTTTAGTTTTTAAGGCTTTATCATCAACTTCTAAATGATATTTAAGAGATAATTATGTAATTGGCACCCAACAAATTATCAACTCTAATCCAAATTCTCTTCATTATTTCTTGTTAATCATACAATTCAATTAAAAACAAATAAAGCTATTGTTTATTATAACGAGAATTGAAAATGTACTTCGATGTTGGCAACTTTACTCTGTTTAATCTCTAAACTAGACAAAGTTTAAGCCCAGCATATGTTGATTAAACGAAATATGATCCCGTAAGATCAGCTCATCATCCTACTGTATCATATTCACAACAAATTTTCAATTTGTGTGATTATATTGTTTTTGGTAATGTTGCGAAACCCCCTTTAACTTGCTACTTACGGAATCGGACCAAAGTGATTAGTTGAAGTTCAATATTGATGTTTAAGGATATTGGAAGATTCAGTTTGTGTGAGTTATTTTATTATTATTATTTATTTGTTTATTTTTCTTTCAAAGGAAAAGCCATTTCAAGTATTGCTCATGAGAGTTATTCTTGAAATGGCATAAAAACCTTTGCATAAAACATACGTACAAAATTTATTCGAATCGATACATGAGTTTCAGTTTGTTGGATCTATATTCTAAAATACAGACTTGATTTATACCTAGCTGGATCTATGTTTTTGATTCCACACTTGACTAATTCCCAACTTGATCTAAGATCGACGTTTTAATTCCGGGCATAATTAAACTCTACTGGATCTTGGTTTTCATAAGTCTGGACATGCCATATGTTCAACTTGGTCTTAGATTTGGATCCGGTATGGTGTAAATAAGGTCCAAGACCTTTTATCAGAGAGTTTTGAAACTTTAACTGGACTTAGGCAAGGAGATGAGCTGTCGACGAAACCATTCAACACTGCACTGGAAGGAGCGTGTAGGAAAGTACGGTTGGAACAAATAGGATCGATTTTCAATAAGTCGGATGACATTGACATTATGGACACAATATACGGTCTATAATCGATGCGTACTCGAAGCTGGAACGTGAAGCTAGCCGACTGTGACTGCAGTTTGATAAGAACAAGACAAAGCTCCTGATAGCCGCTGCATCAGATTGAACAAAACAGCGAGTAGGAATGCACCTTAGCAGATGTCAGATGGAGGTACGTAAACTGATTCACTTGGCATTTGAAGCCTTCTTCAGCTTAAAGCATCTCTTAACATCCAAAAGTCTGTCTTGAGGAACCAAGATCATGTTGTATAAGACGCTGATCCGAATCATTGCATTTTATGGTTCGGAAACCTGAAATTCTACACAAGCGGGTGAGGAAGCTCTTGGGCAATGGGCTCACCAGTCAAGCAAGTAAGTAAGGTGTGAATATTCCTATGAAGCGTGATCGTCTTCATTACCTATTGTAAGACTTATTGTTTTAAACAAAAAAAGTGTAAAAATAAAATAATGCGTGACACAGGAACTAATAAACAGAATGTAAATCCGAAAGAATTTCATGAAAACTTTTAAAAATGCAATGCTGGTAAATTCAGAGCTTACAATTTTATAAATTTTGCGCCTCACCACTTTCATTTTTATCATTGCTTCTTTCCACAAGAACAAAAAATGTGCCTCAAAATGTCATTAAAGAAAATTTGAAGAAATGAAATTTTTTGATTTTTACTTCCTTTATGTGTGTGTGAGGATAATTGCGGAACCTAGCTTGAATATGTTTATTAAAATGATGAATTGCAAATGACATTCATCCATTGATTTTATATTAACTCAAACCAGACAAAAATATACAAATATTTACTGTAGCTTTCAAAAACAATAATTCATAAATTATATGAACAATTCATGATGTTATTAATAACGGAAGTTGAATATTGTATTAATAAAAATTCAGAGTTTTGCAGTCATTTAGATTTTGTAACGGATTTTTAAAATTCAAAAATAACGGTCGAAAACAATTAAAAACTGATCAATAAATTGAAATTTCCGTTAAAAATGCCAAATGATTGTAAAACGATAGAAATAAGGTAGGTATCTTAACTGATTGACGTTTACTTCCTTTTTTTCCAAACATTCCTTTAAGAATTTCCAAAGAAAATACAAAAAAACTTAGCCAAAGAAACTTTTTGAACCTTAAACATTCCGAAAATGAAGCTTTAATTACTTACTTATTCTTTTTAAGGGTCGTTCACTAATGATGTTTATCACAATTAGACTTTTTTAAACCCCCTCCTTCTCCTAATGTCAAAATATTTTATTTTGTATGAAGCTGTCTCACAGACATCCTTCAAAGTTTGACATGATTTATGAACGACACCTTACGACAATGTTTTCCAAACTGTTATGTACCACGGCACAATTTAGTGCTAGCACACAGCATGCGGTTCGTGGTATTTCCAGAATTTTTCTGTGGCATACAGTTTGGACAACACTGCCTTAAGAAATTCCATTAAATCTAATTAAATACGAAAAAAAAACTCATTCTAATCATTATAATATTGAGAATATTTTATTCAATAAAAGATTTTAAATGCACTTATTTTAAATATATTTTTTAAAAATAAAGTCGAAAAAATTTAAATGTGTTTTTAAACAAAAAGTGTGAAATAATTACACATGAAATTACCCATAAAATATGACAATTATCTTAATTCCTCAATTATCACTCGTTAATTATTTTCGAGAATAAGAATAACGTGAATTATTGAGTGTACTCGATGAAAGGTTTATGCTGGATTTTTGAGTCAGGAGCTCAGCATGAACTTCTCATTTATAATAGCTATGTCAAATTTTATTCTCAATTTTTTAGTAAATTTTTTATCAGGTATTAAAAGAAATGGAAAATGACGATAATTTTAATATTTATTGATGATTTTTACGTTTTACAATGAGATGAAATGGATATTAGTGACAATTTGAATCGCTTTTAAATGAATTATTAAAAAAAACCTAGTAAAATACTCCTCATAATCCACTATTGATGTCTTATTCTTCTTCTTTAGTAATTAACCCCTTTTTTTCTGTACTACGGACGAATTAAACCCACAAATTATTGATGATACAAACTTATATGGTATTTAACAATAAAAAAATATAAATTGACAATAATACAGCATTTATATCTACTGATTCATTCATCATTAAGCTAATCTTGAGGGTTGAGTTTATTGAGAACATTTCAAATGTTATTCGGAACTTGTACGATTTTCAAGTTTTTCTCTCCCAACCTCCAAAGAATGAGGTTATGGAGTTGTGCATTTTTCCAAATTTTAATTAATTACGTGTTAAAAAATTGTTTAAAGTCTTCATTAAGAACCAAGAAACAGATAGACAAAGAAGGGAACTCAAAAAAGTCGCGATTTAATCAAAAAATTGGAAATAAAATAAGGGGCTGTTCACTTATTACGTAACGCGAAAAAATGACTTTTTAGACCCCCCCCCCCTCGTAACAAAATTTGTATGAAAAAAAAATTTCCTTGTTTGAACCGTAACAAAATCTTAGACCCCCCTCCCCCCTAAAAGCGTTACGTAATAAGTGAATGGCCCCTAAAATTGAGCAAAAATGTCCACATTTTTGTACATAACTTAGACAAAATGAAAGTTTAAGTAATCGGAATACCACAGACATAATAAACGGTATCTGGATTATCGGCAATTTAGAGAATAGTTTTTTTCGCTATGCGTTTGTGTGTTTTCCCAAAAATCGCGAGAAAGTTTTATCAATCCTTTAGTGCTGCTTGGATTTCAACAAACCTCAACATTGACAAACTGAACTTGTTCATCTCGGAATGTAACAACATATATAATCAAGACATAACAAAGAGTTATCTTTTCTGAACACCGCAGACTGTCAAAGGATCTAGATCATTGACAGTTAAAAATGGATTTTTACCTGACGATAGTTTTGACCAGTTTTGACAAACTCTACTAGAGTCGGATCGGTGCCAACTTCTTCTAATAAAAAAGACTCGAGCAAAAATAAAGTCGACTCGGTTTTGAGATCCTATCCACTTTGAGCTCTGGAAATTATATTGTTTTCAAGCACCATCAGAAGAATTCATACACAAACATTCTTAAAATAACGGCAATTTTTCTAAATAAACCACATTCCAAGAAACTCTTTTGTTGTAGAACTCCTCTATGACGTTATTTATGAACGATCCTAGGTCGTGTAGAAGTAAGAATCTCAATAAACTTCAGCTCCCAGGATGGCATCTATTTTGCATTAATCATAAAAAAATCTCTCTTTCTAAAGTCTTATCTTATCAATCGGCTTCACTAGCATTTTACTCTAATTAATGGACAAAAGGAAACAAAGACTATTCATTTTATATGCTGACATAAATTATTGACAACTGAAAATTTTTAAACTTTCATGCTATATACTAAACGAGATTTATACTAGTATATATGATTATCTACTTAAGATAAAGAATATTTCAAAGGATAAATAAAAATATATTGATGATAATAAAATAATTATGACAATACGGATGAACTAATGATAGTGTGTTTATTGACCAGTTTTTAATGATATTGAAGATTACTCTTTCTTTTTCGAGGCATGGGGGTACTTATTTCAATTGACTGTGTACTGTAAGTCATAATAAGACACAATATTGGGGTCCTCGCTATTAATAATGACTTTGGAATTGAAAAATTCTCTTTTAACTAAGCTATGGACTCCTTTTCATAATTAATATTATTTATTTAAATAAAAATCATTTTTAATGTGGTTGAGGTCAATATTTGAAATACTAATCCCAATTACTAAATGTCTTAAGTTTAAGTTTAGCCAAAATTACCTTTTTATGAATAAGCTGAACCTGAATAGAAAGCTTTTAAACTCAATTCCTTCAGTTCACCTTAGTTATGTTTTTCTAAAAAATATTTTAAAGATGACATGACACTTAAAATATTGGGACTATAATGGGAAATGACATAAATCTACAATTTAAAGTACTATTAATATGAAAAAAAAGTAAAACTTTATAAATCGAACAAATGTTAATGTTCGTGTTATTTATTGCAATGTAAGCATTTGATGACTCAAGTTTAATTAAATATTGTTATAAATTATTATTATGATTATGATTATGCGAATAGAACCAAAGAATATAATCAAATAAAAAGTTTAAAAGCATATAAAAATGGAATATTTTGTAGACTATCAATGTTTTATTTTCAGATTATTGAAAAGTACGTACCAGAAATACGTACGTAAAATTACGCAATAGAAATACGTACGTAAAATTGTGCAATAGAAAAACGCACGTAAAATTACACAATAGAAATACGTACGTAAAATTACGCAATAGAAATACGTACGTAAAATTGTGCAATAGAAAAACGCACGTAAAATTACACAATAGAAATACGTACGTAAAATTACGCAATAGAAATACGTACGTAAAATTGTGCAATAGAAAAACGTACGTAAAATTACGCAACAGAAATACGTACGTAAAATTACGCAATAGAAATACGTACGTAAAATTGTGCAATAGAAAAACGTACGTAAAATTAGAAATAGAAAAGACAATAGAAAATGCATATGTAAAATGACGTAATGCAAAAGACGGGCAAATTCAGATTGATCTAAAATGTATTAAAATAATTAAATAAAATTGAAAACTTCACATTCTACTCTTGATTCCAAATTGTGTTATATCTTATTTTATTAACTGTTATTTCATTTTTGATTCTTCAGAGAACAAATTCTGATAACATTTATAAGTTTGTAGTAGTAATTGAGCATGCAATGCATGGAAAACTATTTTCGATCATGTTATTTTAATCCCTAAAACGGAAGAAGTCTATTGTGTATGGTGTATCTTCTGTTCTTCATCTTATTCCTTTCTTATGTGTAGTCGAAAACGGATTTTTTATGACAACATAAAGTTCAAGTTAAAAAAAAATCTTCTATGATCAACAAATAAGAATATGAAATGATTTCAAATAATTCAACTATATCATTATGAAGAGATTTTGTATGTGCTTAGCTTAATTAAATCGTATATGTAAGTTTTGTTTGAGTTGTAATCAGAGACGAAATTACTTTGTGAATTCAGCGAGTGTTACTTTTGATAGTTATTCTCATCATGATATTGCTGATTCTTTCGAATTATGGCGTTTCGCATTATTTCAGATGTAAATTGTTGAAGTTGTTCTTGAGTCGGGATTTTATGTCCATCGTACATTGCTTGTGGTGGCATTTGAGGCGGTCCAACATTATTTTGATATTGATAAGCATGCGAAGGATTTTCATTTACGCGAACTCCCCAATTATTTGCAAGGTTTTGAAAAAATTGTGGTACAGCTGTTTGCGGAGGTGCTTGATGATGCATTGGATTATAGCTTTGTTGTTGCTTCATGCGATTTTCAACTTCACTTATATGCATAGCATTGCTTGGCAGATTTTTTGGATAGTTTTGTTCCATCAAGTCAGAGAAGCTTACATTCTGTTGGTGCAGAAACTTGCCACTCTTCCAAGCATCAAAGAATGGATTCATGATTTGTGGTGGAGCTGCTGCTGATGATGTCCTTGGAGCAGGCTTATTGAAATGTAAAGGATTACGGAAACGCTGATTAGCATTGTTATTGACTGTATTATTGCGATAATTCATGTTGCGTGCATTATAATAGCTATTGTTACTATAGCTGCTATTTTGGCTATTGAACGATTGATTATAGCTACTATTATGGCTACTATATCCACTATTATGTGAATAGCGATTGTAAGAGCTATTATGACTGTATCGGCGATTCTGATTCGGTTGATATTCATGATTAAAACTATTAGTGCTCATATTATTCCTTTGATTTTCAGCAGCTTGCTTAACTTCTAGACATTTTTCCTTATCTTCAGCTTCAGGTTGTTCAGCAATATCTTCGTCAGAAAATCCATGTAAATCAATGAAATCCTCAAGTGTTGCAGGAACACTGAACCATTCTGGTTCCTTTTCATCTTCAGCCTTGCTTGGTTCAATCTTCTTGTTGCTTTCAAAGCATGTTCGCTTTTCAGATGGCTTTTCCAACACAGATTCCTCGCCGCACGACGACTTTGTATCATTTCCAGAAAAGTAACCAACAGAACTGCTATACGAATTTCCATGCTGTTCACTAGCACACGAATTTGGCTTGCGTAGATAATTTGATTGGTGGTGTTGTTGTTGCTGCTGATTATTATAATTATTATTGGGGCGCTTAAAGAAGGTCGCTTGTTGGCGATGATCAAAATTCATCATTGTTCGAGGAGGAGGAATGTTAGCAGTTGTTGTTATATTATCAAAGAAATTCATTTTGCGATCGTATGACGGGATCTTGTCCAAAACTGCTTGCTGCTTTTCCATCAATGATACTCGATCAGGACACGGTTGGAATTGGGACTGTGTAGGCTGATTAAATGCCTGCGGCTGTTGTGGGTTAAACATTTGCTGCTGTTGGTTCTGATAATTTCCAGTATAACCTGTATTATAAGATAATTTAATGCATTAATAATATAGTATAACTTATTGCTTAACGCCGTTGGAAAATAACGTTCAAAAATTATTTGAAATACATATAGACAGACAGACAAATTTATAAAAAATGCGCTAAATACGTACCATTGTAAAATGGATTAAGCAATGCATTATGGTAGTTCCTTAACAGCTGTAAAATGTTGGGATCCCAGCCTGTAACAGACAAATTTTGTAATTTTTCACGAAATGCCTTCATTTGAATATCGACCACGACTGGATCTCGATTTTTGTACTTCAATATGTTGAGCCTCATTATATTTGGGTCATAGAAACAACACGGCGGTTGTTGAGATAGCTTAGAATCCTTAATTTTCTTCAAATCAGCAATATCATAACGCGTCATGTCACTGGATGTTGAATACAGCATGATCGACGAGTCAGCGTGCTTCAAGTGCTTTTGGAATGCATCTATTACAAAAAATTGGGTAAATATTAATTATGCTTACAATCTGGAGCCATTTTATGCTTTACCGTTATCAATTATAGCTACTGCTGCCATTATTATTTGTGTTAATTAAATTAAATGTGTATTAAAATTCCAATAAATACAGTACAAACTTTCAGGACGAAAAATCAAGATGAAATGAACGAAAAGCATGTAGCAAGTAAGGGGATTGTCACCCTGATTTTAGCGCTAAAAGCGCTTTTGTTTTTGTAATTTTTTTAAGGTTATTTGACTTACTTAATTTCATTTTACGTCCTTCAAGTTCTTCACACGTAAAGATCTTCTTTTTAATGCTGTATTCTGGCTGATCATTCGATGTGCTCTGTTCTTCAGAAATTTGATTAAAAACCATTTTCATGCAAAAATTTTAAAAAACACTAATTTACGGTAAAAATCCACGATTTTAACGAAAATATGGGTTAAAAGAATAATTTTTCAACAGAAAAATACTGTATATCTACTTTAATTAAGACAAAACAAATTGATTTATTTAATTGAAAATTTTCACAAGAGCTGGATTCTCAACAAGTAACAAAGTCACAAAAACCTAGAAAGATTCAGTGATTTTTAAGAATATCGAACAGACAGTCAAAAAAGACATCACTTTTGTTGTTTTTAAAAACGATGCTTAAATTCAAATGAACTTTAATTTTTCGAAAACCGTTACAAATTTTATCAAGTTGATCAAATTTATTTTACATTGTTTAACTCGTCGGTTTTATATAAATCTAACTGTATCAATGCCAAAGGTTCTGGGTTCAATTCCAGCCCAAGTCTAATTTTTGAAGCTCTTTTTCCATTTCACGGTTCTAGTTCCGAAGCTCGGCTCGTGTGTTGGGTGCAGTATTGGTGTCATTGGCACTGAATATGCCTCCTTTGCTAGGTATACAAGGATATACTTGCATCTGTATGACTTCCTTACGGCATCTTGCACACACTCTTGTCTTTGCAAAGTGCAGAGCTTGCAAGTGGTTTGGATCCCACTATAAAATTAAGGTTTAAAGGGTATGGTACAATAGATTCTTTACAAAATTGGAGACTCCTTCACACATTATTATCAAAACAATTCAAGAAGCTCTTTCACATGGTCTTTATTTCAATCAGAGATGATCTCTGCAAAATTGCTAGGGCAGTGCCCTAAAACCATCAAATAAAATAACGGTTACGAAAAATTCAAATCATTTTCAATATTATCTGTTCAAAAAAATAACAAAACATTTCGCAAATTCTTGAAAATATTAAATTTAATTAAATTAAGCAAATAAGGACTGTGTTTAACAAAAAGAATATAAAGAAGGACTTGCTGGTATCTTGAACATCACGAGGAATGAAGAGATTTCTCATTATTGAGCTGATAATTTGAAGAAAATCAAAAACAAACTTGTTGATCGTACAAAATTGGTACTATTAAAATCATGAGTAACGGAAGTGGTAGTGGAGAGTCGTCAAGAAAGAATGCGGCTAAAGGAACACCAGTAAAAGCTCTTAAAAGAGATGTCCGTGGATTGTTGTCATTACAGCAGTAAGTTCCTAAAATTTATAAAATCATGAAGTCAATTAAAATAGATAATTAATTTGCAGAGAAAGTCCTAGTCAGTCCGATGTTTTATGGAGTTCATTGGATTCACCACACAAGAGTCGAACTGTAGGTGGAAAATCCAAGTCATTAAAGTCGTCTAACGAATTGACTCCAAAAAATAGCGCTATTAGAAAGAAGTATTATTCATCGCCGGTTTTGGTAGCTCGAGTACCTGATGACAATGATGAGGAGATTAGAAAACGTAAAACATTAGAGAATCAGAGAATTTTGGAGGAATTTCACCGACAATTCAGCAATGATAATTATGTACCACGAAATCTACTTGATAATCTCGAAGAGAATCTAGACGACTCAATCGTTGCCCAAGATGCACAGATTAATCCACAGACTAGTGATAATATTAAGGATGAAATTGACAGATTAACTGATTACAACTTAACAGACCAAGAAGATTTTGAAGCTTTGGATGAGATGGAGGAACAAGCAAGGCAATTTCTTATCAAAAAGGAAACTCAAAGTTCCATAAAAGTGACATCAAACAAATCAAGTACTCAAGTAGCAAAGCCAAAGGAGCCTTTAAAATCATTTAACTTTAAGAACCCAAAATCAGCACCAACAACTTCCAAAGAGAAGAAAGTAACGATTAAAAATGATTATTTTGACAGCGATGATGATGATATAATCTTGTCAATTCCATTAGAACAGTTATCAGCCGAAAATGTTCCCAAACCATCTACTACCTCTTTAAGTAATAAAAAGGAACCGCCAGTTAAGAATAATAACTTCAGCCACACCTCTGTAATACCCACTAAAAGAGAAAATATCAGTGTCAATTCAGACAAAAATAGAATGCAAAATCAAAGTAACTCAAAACCGCTTGTTCAATCCAAATCAGGTATGTATTTTATATATGCATGCGTCAGACTTGTCAGATTGCGAAATTTGAACACTTAATGATTCATTGTTCTTTTGGGAGTAAAACTTATTGTGTGTATACTTTTCTGGCAATGCATAAACTTTATAAGAACTTAATCACTTATTTTTTTTTCTCTCTTTTGCTAGCTGCTGACAATGCCACATCAGAGCCATTAGCAAAGCGACAGTGTACAGCAGATGAAATAGCTGAAAAGAGGCGTCAAGCGATGCAAAGGCGTGCAGCGTTCCTTCAAAACAATAAATTAACTCAAAAACCTAAGAACTAAGACTAAGCCACAAGAATTAGAAAGTAAAAAGCTTTTCGGATGAAAATAAGATGCAAATCAAATTGATTTTGATATGTTTTTGCGTATTTTTGATCCTGTCAATTGAGACTCTTGCTATTATGGATTCAAAGATCTGCTCTCTATGAATTTAAAAGAATTCCAAGAGTACAATAAATTTTTTATCAAAGAATTAAGAATTTTGGCTTCACTTATATTTAGGAAGTTTAAATTGTTGCATAACACAAAACAATTAACTCGAATTCTTTATCAATCCACTTTTATCTGAAATAATTGATATAATTAGTGTATTAATAAATTCATTTATTATTATTACGCTTCATAGTATCAAGTCATGCTTCAATTAATCAATCATGGATTAATTGGTTTATTTTCGCTTGTGTGAATCAGATTTTCTTGATCAGATGCTTTTTGAAAATATCTTGGCTAGCTTTTTAGGAAACTATTGTCAAGAGATCCACAAATTTGATGCTTTACTCCTTTCTTCCTATTTTTGACACACATATTAAGAGTTCTGTAGATTTGGTTGTGAATTGCAACAGTTTAATATGTATCAATTAGGTTGAGGCAGTTAATTGTTTGTATAAGCTTGTAGAGGATCCATTTCTTCACTAAACTAAATCGTATTACATACCAAAGTCATAAGATGAACAAAAGGATATAAATGAGATTACTGCTTTCATGTTTGAAGTTATTCCATTTCAAAAAGTAATTTCTAAAATTGAAGAAAATTTACGTCAGTCCCAAATGATATCAACCATTGTAATCAGCATGCGGATAGAAAAAAATCTTCTTCCTTTTTGAAATAAATTTAGAAAATTGAAAGTTTCAACATCCTGTTCATCTATGAATAGCTTTGAATGATTTTCTAATTTAAAGCCCACCTTAAAGAATGAAAAAATTGTAAGCAGTTCCATCACAATCATTCGAGAATCATATTATCTCAGTACTGTCGAGGATGAAGAGAATTTTAGTTTTGTTATGAACAGCATGATACACAGAAATGCTGACGTAGGAAGATAATAAGTAACATGCAATCCATCTACAATATTATTTTTTTGAATTAGCTTCAGATGAAAGTTGTTAGGCATTTTTGTAATAATCCCAAAAACCGGGAAAAAGGAGGATCTTGCAGACTTTTTCAGCTATCGACATACTTTTGGGATATTGAAACTGTCGAGACAAGCTAAGTATGACCTCAAATGTCGATGGATAACCTACACAAAAATTGTGACCATACTGACAGGTGCATTGAACAAATTCCTGTTTCACCTCTTATGTCAAGCAAAGGCGCTTTCAAGTTCCACAAACGATGTGGAAGATTTACTTGCATCGGCTTATTTCAGCTTGTTGTGAAATGTAATTTCCTCGTGAACCGAAGAGAAGAATGAGTAAGATGAAAGAATTGAAAATAGAAATGAATTTTAATTAAGGATGGAACAGTGTGTAGGAATATGTTAATTACAAATCAATTAATACCAATATATTTTGCAGCCTTTAGCAAAATTTTCATAGTCTAAATATTTGTTCACCAGCTGCTTTTGAATAAACAAATTTCCAACAGAAGCTTTACATTGAGCACGAAATGTGATATTTTTTTCTCCATCTTTCCATTAATAAAAACATTTGTTCCAAAAAGTTTACTCGTGAAACGACCTTACACATTTTGTCAGCTGAGGAAGTTGAAATTGAAAACTTTTATGAAAATGATATTTTATTGAGTTTATTGGAAATCTGTCCTTAAGGGTGTAGTCATGATTTTTCTAGAGAGGAACTCAGAAATATTTTCTTCCAAAAGTCTTAGCCATGTCAGAGGTGTAGACAGAAATTTTTTTAATGGGGTTTGATAACGGTAGTTGAATTGCAAGCATATGGATGGATAGATTAACTGACAGTCCAACAATAAAACGCCATCTTTGCCATTCGTGGATGGATAGCTTTTCAATATCAAATAAAGGTTCAAGTTCCATTCTTCACTCCTAGTCTGTCCCATCAAGAAATCTGTTATAAAGTTCGACATCAAACTCCGGCAATAATTTAATTTTACGGTACGAATGAAATTATTCGCAAGTGTGGGTTGGAAGAAATTTGCTAAAAGAATACAAAACAACCTGAAATGTAACAGACGCAATCAAGAAAATTTTCAACATATTGTGTCTGTAATAATAGAAATAACCTTGGATGAAAAGTTTATGGAAATGCCTAATACTGGAGTTATTTTGTTTGATAATTAAACAACCCTCAACATTTCCTCTCATCAAAACCACAATTTAGTAAATTTGCTATTCAAATATTTCTGTAAAATAATTTGGATAAACTCTTGACATCACAGTCTCTAAAGTTTTCGATTTAGATTTAATCATTTCAAGACATATTAAATAAGCAAGACTTACTCTTAGTTCTTAAAAATTTCAACAATCAATCATGCTTTAAACTCCAGAGCAAAAAAAAAAAATAAAAACTTTGCTCATTACCCAGAACATTTTCAACTTTTGATCTTGAAAAGAAAGAAGAATGAAGAAATTTTCATTAAGAAACATAAAAAAAAGTTTCTTGCTTCTTACATTAACTTTTCATTTCTTGTTCTTTATAAGCTGAAGATTTTTTTTTTTTTGTAAAAAGCTGCTGAAAAGAGTAAAATAATTGGAAACATTTTCATGATGAATTTCTTGTATGTATGAAGGATTCTGACATCAACTAGAATATTGTGTAGCACATCATTACCTTTTGATTCACTAATCTACAAATCAAATTGTGAAACATCCATTTAAACTGAGCGACTAAGTCACGACTTTACAATAGTTCTTCTAATATGATTTAATCCCGAATGGCACAAATCGAATAGAAATCCGGTGCCTAGCCGGTATGACTCTGGCATGGTGCTGGATTTAAATCGAAGCAAAATCCAACACCATGCCAGAGTCATACCGGCTAGGCACCGGATTTCTATTCGATTAACCGACTTGTGTCATTCGGGAATGGTTTTCATTAAGGGTGAGATACTGATGAAATGATCAGAATTGATCAAAAATGATCAAAATGTAATTTATCAGTTCCGCACCCTTGGTTCCCATTTGAAACCTCCGTTTTTTTTTTCATCTGTAGCTTAGTCGGAGGATTCACCTTGTCGCCTACATTCAAAATGAGCATAAGGTAGAGTATTGACTAATTCATGTGATTTTTCACTTTGTGTGGCTCGGCTAGCTGTCGTATATTTCTGGCTGCATTGCTTGCAACCGTCTACCAATTTTAAATTCCAAATTCTGTATATGCCCACAGCATCTTTCAATGAAATTTTTGAGTTCCCACTCAGCATATACAAAATTAGGTTCCATTTAATTTTGGTTCGAAGGAAACTCATTTATATTTCATGACATGAGGATTGAAGATTGAGGATGTAATCCAAATTAAAACTTAATCAGATCAAGGCTTTCCATATATGCTGTATTATGAAACTTTAAACTACACACTAGTTGATTTTAAAGGAAAAAATTGGATATTTTTTCATATGAATGAAATTTCTCGGAATCTTTAAAAGCAACACATCAGTATCAATAATTAAGAGTAATTGTTATTATGCATCTGGAGGATAAATTAACATACACCAATGGCAAGCGTCAATTCTCATTAATTTTATTTTTCATACAAAATAAATTGTTTTCAATGACGTCAATGGAAATAAAAAAGGATTTAAACTTTCTCTCTTCTTTCCCATTTGCTGGCGGCTTAGTTGAACGAGCAAACGAGAGCGTTCGTTATGCACAACAAGTCTTAACGTTAGTCAATGAAATTTGAACTTATTGTGTCGCTTAATATGCATAAAGTGCCTACACATGAAACGTTCATGTCACCATGTATTTAAAAATGAAGCTCCTTCAATGTGAGCATAGTGAATATGAGGATTCCAAATATGGATATTGTCTGAGAGAGAAGATGTCTTTTTACGGATTCATGATAATCAAAAACAGTCTATTTTTATGTCCCCATAGAGATAATGATCATTATCGCCTTTCGTGGAAGTTCTGATATGAAATTAAAACATCTGTGTTGTTGTCAATTGATAGATTAAAGTAAATTAAGCTTGGAAGGTCTGAATGATATTATTACAATCTTGGTCTATATTTTGATTGACCTAAAATATTTCTATTCAACAATGAGCTCATGATATCAGTTCCAAAAAAAAAATAAAATAATATAATTAAACAGCAAGTATTTAAACGTGCTTTGAGACAATTCTAATTAATTAAAGACTTATGTGAGTTGTTGTATTTAATTAATCCTAAAAGGTCGTTTCCTTCTCTCTTACTTAATGACTATTAGAATCATTCCAAAAATAACTTTGTAGCAAAACTTTCATTTTGTAAACTTTTAAAAATGTCACATGCCACAACTGTCTCTAAATCAAGAAGAAACTTGATAATACCAAACTATCTTAGAACACAAGCAGCTTCAACTTACGACTTACGATTTGTAACATTACCAACAATTTCAGATTACAGGTCTCGCAAGTTATTGTTAAATTTCGATTTCAGGGTCATGAATCTAGTGATTTTTCAGAAATATAGATATTTCTGCTTCTTAAGTCAATGTCAGAACTAAGGCTCCCGCAGATTATAATCTTTAAATAATCCCATACAAAGATTATAATCTTTAATAATCTTCATTGATGAGGAAGCTCTTGGTATCTTCGATAGACGAGTATTGCAAGCGATTTATAAAACTGTAAAGGAAGGAGAACCAAGGGTCAGACACTCCAACAAAATTGTTAAGATTGTACAATTCTTCACAATCCATATGGAAGGATTGTAAAGATTGTGCAATCCTTACAATCTTTACAATCCTTATATGGAAAGGATTGTAGGGATTGTAATCCTTACAATCTTTTCCATGTAAGGATTGTAAGGATGTAATAATTCTATGGAACATTTAAAAATGTTTTTCATAGGATATTAAAGAAGAAATATTAATTTAATGTTAAAAATTTATTTGTTTGAATTTAAAGAACGAAATAAGCTTGATATATCAATTTTTTTCCTTATAACCAGGGTGATTTAAATCAAAAAACAAAATCAAAATCTTTTTACAATGATTTTAGAAAAGAATTTTGATTTAAATCATTTTTTCATAGGGATTTTTTTTTGGATTTTG